CATATGTATGTATGTATGTATGTACATAATTATGCACGTATCTTCGCCTAGAAATTAAAACATACATATTTTCAATTACGTGTATTAAGGTGATGCTGGATATCCGTTGGAACCGTGGCTTATCACTCCTTATCGGATGCCAGGCCAAGCAGAAATGAAGTTCAACGAAATACATTCGAAATGTCGCAACATTATTGAGAGAACAAACGGGGTTTTAAAAAACAGGTGGAGATGTATCCTTTATTGCTCGAGAACTACACTACACGCCAGAGAAAGCAGCACAAATTATTAATGCTACTTGTTGCTTACACAACATCTGCATTTACTTCAGAGCGAATGTAAATTTTCCTGAGCGAGGTAAATTTTCCTGAAGTTCACGAAGCTCATACTACTACGCCGACGCGCAATATGGAGATTGCGAGATCAATAAGAAATAATATCCGCGATTCTTTTAATAATTAAAAATTAAGAATAGCAATTTTTGAATTTTTTACACACATTTAATTCTCGTAAGCTTGGCTATAAATATGTATTACTATTTCGATGTAATAAAACACTTAGATATGTTGTAATAAAAAATCATATAGAGTGCCGCACTAAATTATTGACACAGGGGAATTTTTTACAATGTATGTAAACTTTTTTACTTTAATTTTTCCTCTAGTTTATTTAAAAAAATTAGCTCATACCAACAAAAAAATAATTGAACCTCGAAACTCAATTTTTACCGGCTCAGAAACGGTAGGAATGATCGATTGAAACTGGATTTGTCTTCATCTACAATATCAATTTCAATAGTATGCAAGGGTGCCTCCATTTTACCTAGTCCTTACAGAGTTAAGGACATTATGTTGTTTTATTGTTTTTCTGGGGAGTAATAGTAGCTTGCGGCGCCATGTCGTACATTTTCCATAAACTGAACGCTTCACACTGCCATCCCTATAAAGGCTGCAGGAAAAGGTAGTAAACCTTTCTCGATCTTGCTAAAATTTGTTATTTGAAATACTTTCTCTAGGGAAATAAAAGTATGACAACTGGCAAAAAGAAGGTGAACTGCAACGCCACTACACCAGGGGGCGGATATGGTAAATGTTATT